TCAGCCTCCCAGAGTGCTGGGATGACAGCATGGGACACCTGGCTCAGCTGTTAGCAGTTTCCTGTGTACCCTTTCAGACAAACACTAACATATAAATTACCCCATGAGATGTCTGTTTCTCAAGGCTGGTTAGTGGAGTGGAAAGACTACAAGATGTGAGAAGACTTGGATTCAAATCTCAGAACTGAGTTCTGCCATTTGTTAAGTAGTTAAGTGACTTTGCCCCTCTCATCTTGATTCTGTTAAATATACTACGTGCATGGTTCCTCCTCTCGGGTGTCTTCAGTGCTTCACAAATGGACCGTATTCTCTGGCCTATGTCAGTGCAGAGTCTTGCTCTAAGAATGAACAGGACCCCGTCGCCTTCTTTACTATAATGTGTGACTAATGCTTTTCTTGTGTAGGGAAGGGGAATCATGAGCCATGGGAAATAGAACATTTGGAAAGGAATAGAACAGTTTCTGTTTGTCAGATACAGGAGCCTTCACACTTGGCTAGTGGAGTGCTGATAAACCCTGGCCCTTTCCTTCCCTGCAGGAAGTCATTAACACAGAGGGACTTCTCATATTTAATAGCTCAGTTAACTCTGACCCTTCAGGGTGCCTGAGGCTGTAGACTCTTGTGAGGAGCATGGCCTGGTTAGCTGTGTTTCCTGCTGTCACCTGCTCAGTATGATGTTAATCCTTTTCTAGCAGTTAGTTTTCTTTGGTCTTTGCACAATGCTTGATGTAACAGATGAAGAGTCCTGAACTTTGGAACAATTCACATTTGGTTTCCTCAGGAGGGCAGCTGTTAGGCCTTTCTCCATGGTAATTTGGCGTTAGCATTTCTGATGGGATTTGTAGGGCTTTCAGTTTGGAGTTTATTTGGTTTCTATTAAGTGAAAGAAATTTTTCTATCATATAACTCCTGGACGTCAGAATGAACAGTCCTGAAAGTATTCATTATCTTTCAAAGGAAGAAAAATTGTGAATACCTGTTGTACAGGGTTTTGTTCTAGATGTTGTTTAAAGCAATGGTTCTGAATTCCCAGAATGCTGCTATCCATATTGCTGAAGGTAGTCCTATTAGTGATTTGTGTGTGTGTGTGTGTGTTGAACCTAGGGCTTCCCATAAGCTTAGGCGTGCACTGTATCAAAGGAATGGACAGGTGTTTCACTGCTGAGCTACATCCCTGGATTTTGTTTTTTTGTTTGTTTGTTTGTTTTTGGCACTGGGGATTGAACTCTGGCCCTTGCGCTTGCGAGGCAGGCAATGGAACTACTGAGCCAAATCTCTGGCTGTTATTTTTTGGGTTTTTTTGGTACCGGGGATTGAACTCGGGTCCTTGCACTTGCAAGGCAGGCCACCGTACCGCTGAGCTAAATCCGCGGCCCATATTTTTTGTTTTGAGATAGGGTCTTACTAAGTTGCCCAGTCTGTCCTCAAGATTGCTACCCTCCTGCCTCAGCCTCCCCTGAGCTGTGATCATAGGTTTTTGCCACCATCCCTGTGGTTTATAGTTTGTAAACAAAATAAGTTTGCTATATCCTCTCTGAAGGAACTTGTTATTTAGAATAGAGAAGACTCCATTGGAGAACCATGAGAAATGAATTTATGAATCATGAGTCATTTTATTAGGAAGTGTGAAGTGTAGGATTTCTTACACCTAAGTCCTGCACAAAGGCATAAAAAAATAGAGGCATTAAAGTATATATCCCAGGGCCAGGGATAAGTTAGGTTTATGGAAATAGAGCAAATAAATAAGGGCAGTGAAAGAGAAGTGAGTAAAAATCATCTGACCACAGCTGGAGGAAAAAGGATACAGATGATGAACCACTGAAATGTTAACAGAATTCTTTACTTGGTGAACTGACAGAGTCTTGTTCCTGGAGTTGTAGGGCCAAAGTCCTGCTCCAGAGGTCTGAATGCCAATGAATGAGAGAGCAGTAGGGAAAGGCAGGAGAGGAAGTTGGCACAGTGTGCTAAGAGTGCTGAGGAGAGGCTGGAGTTGGGTCTTCAGAGGCTGCCAGAGCTTGGGGTTTATAGAAAAGAGGAACCAGTTGAGGGCTGGGGATTTAGCTCTGTGGTTCTAGCGCCTGCCTCACAAACACAAGGACCAGAGTTTGAGGCCCTCCCATACCAAAAAAAAAAAAAAAAAAAAAAAAAAAAAAA